TGTGTGTGTGTGTGTGTGTGTGTGTGTGTGTGTTGTGAAGAGTCATGTTTTATCAGCTTCTTTCTGAATTATTGCTTATCTTTTAAGGGCTCTCAACCCTTTGATTGTCAGAATGAAGTCAGATGCTAGCCGGGGAGGTAGAACATTCTATTTTGTAGGAAACAGCTGGTCACACCTGCCATGCAGGGACATCTGGTTCCAGGACTCTTTGTACCACACGCCAAAGGACATTTCAGTCTTTGTGAGCAGGCCTGGCCAGGGGGCACAACAGCCTGGCAGCTCGAGGTTGGTATGAGGCCTCCTTTCCTCCTTCAGCAAGACAGGATCTTGAGGAAGGCTTTGCGGAACTCTACATTGAAGGTGGTATAAATCACAGGGTTGAGGGCACTGTTCACGTAGCCCAGCCATGTAGTGGCTCTGTAAAGCTCTGGGGACACGTGGCATGCTTGGCAGTGGGTGTTAAGAACGTGGATCAAGAAGAAGGGCATCCAGCAGACAATGAAGGCCCCTGGGTTTCAAAGGAAGAGAGAAAGCACGTAAGGAGTTTATTTTCTCTTTGGTAATAACGTGAAAATGACCTATGGCTGTCTGTTTTATGTCAGACACTATGCTGAAAATTTAATACACCCATTTATTTTTTTCCAATAACTGTGATTAAGTGTGATCAGCCACATTTCTCTTTCTGTTTAGATGAGAAAACTGCATGCTGATGTCTTTGATTCACTTCAGGCCTTTGTTTCTATACCAACTTTCTATTTTAGCCTTTGGGTGGTTTTTACAAGTCATTTCTCCTCAGATAGTTCAGGCACTTATTCAGTGCTTGCCTATGCAAGACATGGTCCTAGGCTCTGATAGGGACAGAGGCATCACACACATAACTGGCAGAGGTCCTGCTGCTGAAGAGATACTAAAGTCCTTCATATGTGAGAACATGATGCTCACCAGTATGAATTGCTTTCCTTAACTCTACATAACACTGATAACATCAAACTATAATTTCTTTGTTTAAAAATGTTTATACTCTTTTACTATAAAATTTAGGCTTGTTTGTATGCATAATGGAAAACTTGGTAAATACTCAAAAGTAAAAAGACGCACAATAACCAGCCACCACTGAAAGACAATCACTTTTGACATCTTGGTGAATTTCTTTCCAACTCTTTTTTTCTCTGTATTTAAAATAACCTAGGGCCGGGGATTTAGCTCAGCGGTTCGGTGGTCTGCCTTGCAAGCGCAAGGACTGGAGTTCAATCCCCAGTACCAAAAAAAAAAAAAAAAAAAAAAAAAAAAATTAAAATAAAATAACCTAGATGTTATCACATTATATGACAGTAGGGTTTTACATCCTTATTTTCACTTAATATTTTAAAATGATTAAACATTTATTAAATATCCAACATACATATATTTTATTCAATCATGATTTGATTTATACAATATAATTCCATATGATGGCAAAATACGGCTCAATTAGATGGCTTGTTTAGCTTCATAAATTTCAACTATGTTTTTTGAATTTACACCAGTGTTAATACAAAATCTTCTTAGTTGTATCATAAATATTTTATAAATATTATAGTCCTTGAATTTCTAATTTCTGTTAAATGTGGCTACTCTAACATCTATTATCAGCTCCGACTAACCAACTCACACCAACTCAAACTTACCAAGTACAATGGCCACCATCTGGGTTGCCTTCTTCTCTCGAAGTGGCACCCCCCGAGGCTGCAAGGAACCCAGTTTCAGGGATGTTGATAGCCTGCCATTACTGAGTTTTCGAACCTCTAAACTGAGCTTGGGTGCCATGGTGGGGCTCAGGGAGTTCTGAGTCCTCTCCTCCTTTTTCAGTTCTCCTTCTTCTTCTTGGAAGCTTGGTCGCCGCAAGGTGGTACCTTGGCAGATACTGTAGTAGCGTTTCAGCTCTGTGTGTGCTTGGCTGGGAGAAAGGGGCTGTGGGTGTGAAAAGAGATGGTTCTCACATTTCCGGGGGTATTGTTTATCTCCTGTGTGTTCCTTAAAAGGAAAGAAAGTGCACAGAAGGAATAGGAGACCGTTGTGTGAAACCTACAGAAGAAGCAACTGAGAGAATGGCGAGACTGGAAAGTTATCAAATGAAACATTTTTTACTATATAACTCCAAAGCACCTACTACACATGGAACATTAGATAATCAGAGCAATACCTTGGCGGGGGCATTGTAGTCTGATCTTTCTGAGCTAGAGTGACCTGACTTTGCAGAGGAACTTGATAAATGATACTACTGCGATGCAGGTAGCAAATTTTGCAATGTGGGAAACTATAAATGATGCCATTTTTCAACAATTAAATTGTAACAACAACAACAACACCTGCCAGTTGCAAAATATAGGGTTTACCTTGCATTTTGATTCAAGCAAACTAATCATAAAAACTTATATGACAATTGGAAAAATTTGAATGTTCATTGGGTATTTAATGACATTAGAGAGCTATTACTATTTTTTTTAATGTGATGTGGTATTGGCATTATGTGTTTTATGAAAGATTTAATATCCTTTAGAGGATCTTACAGAAATATTTTCAGGAGAAATAACATATCTGAGATTTGCTTCATAATAATCCAGTGGGGGGTATCTGAATGTAGGTGTGAATGTAGATGAAATGATTGGCCCCAAGTTGATAATTGCTGAAAGTAACTGATGATGACTAGGGTGTTTTGTTATATTTGTCTCTCCACTTTTTTGCTTTTGAAATTTTCTGTAATAGAAAGTTTTACAATGTAAACAAACAAACAAAAAAGGAAGATCCAGAATTTTCACCTCAGCTTTCTGCTTAGTACATATAATTCCTTAGCAAGTTAATTTAATATTCTGAGCCTTATTTGTAAAACACAAAATAAATGGAAAAAATGAGTTTGTGATGAACAACTTCTGAGAGTAGAAAATGAGATGTGAAATCTTCTGGTATTTCGCTAAGGGGAGAAGCAGACATGTGTAGGTCCAACATTTGAATTTCTTTCGATTTTTGAGGGGTTAGGCATTTGTGTCAATCTTGAATAGGAGGTGGGACTTCTCAGCTCCCTTACTGAAGCAATAACAGGTTGGTATTTGGTCCACAGTCCCCCTCTCCCATGTCTGCCCAGGCAGCTCGAGCTCTGGCATATGAACTGATTCATGTCTGAGACTCAGTACTGAAACTAGAGGAGCAGGCAGAGCAGAATTCATCTAAGTGTGGTGAAATGCAGCAGCCAGTGTTCCCTGTCTTCTAACCAGATTACTCCTGAGGCATGAACATTTCTGCAGCTGTTCTTCAGCCTTCTCAGTCTGTGTGCAGCCTGACCAGGTTCCATAAATTCCTTTTCTACATAAGTTAGTTAATATCAGCACCCAGAATCCCTTGTTTCTCTTTCCTTAGTTCCAAGAATCACAGGCTTCTGGATACACAGGACTGATGCAATGAGCACACTCAGAGGCACTGCTGAAGAAATGAGTGAATGCAAAAGGATTTTAAGTGATTTGGTGTTATTAAAACTGTGCTTTACTGTGGTAGTTTTAGGGATTCTAGGACAACACAGATGAAAAAAAATTTTTGTTTTCACTTTCATGGGATTACTTAATAATTAATAAACAATATTGTTTTGACAACTTATAACCAAGATTATGTTTATGAGTAAGCTGGCACATACTGATCTACAGATGACAATATTTAACTTCTAATGTATTAGTTCTGAAAGTAGGAGACTGGGGAAAAATTCTTAGGAGTACTTATGAATTGTAAAACTGGGGAACGTTGTGTTTCTGTTTGACAGTTGTAGATATTCAGTCCTATAGGGGGCAAGTGGCTCTTCTAAGCTTACCATTTTTTTGCTCTCTGTGGAAGTCCTCATCACTACCCCCATCCCTCTTAGAAGCAAACACTGGATTGCTCTTTGGAATCGCTGGCTGGGAAAGACCTCTACTCCCAGATGGTAGAACAGGAGTTAATTCTTAGTCGTGGCAGCAAAGCAGCCTCTCAATTCTTTAGTCTCTCTTTTGTAGTCTACACTTTTCCTTTGGCCTTGGAGTCTCTTCAGATCTCAGATATGCCATAGGCAACTTTAAGTGGCACCAAGAGCCTCTTGTTGCTGCATAAAGCCTATGTATGCATGGTTAATTAACTGTTCAGAAACTGGAAAGAGTTACACTTCATTACAGCTTTTGCAGTTTAATTTATTTTTTTTCCTCATTGACATTATTGGTACATTTTAGATATACAGTACAGTTACATTCATTATTGGGATCTTGTGCCTGTACATGACAGGTCTTGTTTCTCATTTTTCCCCCTTGTCCCTGCCCTACCTTCACCCCTCCTCTCCTCTCCCTTTACAAACACTTCATTTCCATTTTTTCGTTTTCTCATATTTTTTTCTTTTCCCTTATTAGCTTTCCCCTACCCTTCCCACTTTCCCTACACCTTTAGCCCCTTTCTTCCAATTTCACATTGTCCATTATATCATTAGGATCTTATGTACTATTATAGTTTATTCACACCAGAGAAACTATTCGGTATTTACACATGTGTGATTTATTTATTTCACTTAGGAGTATATCCTCAATATGTATCCATTTTCCTATGAATGAATCTAATTTCTCATTCTTTATGGCTGAGTAATATTCCATTTTATAGAAAAACTACATCTTCTTTATCCAGTTTCCAACTGATGGGCAAATGGGCTGTTTCCAAGTTTTAGCTACTACAAACTGTGCCGCTCTAAACATAGGTGTGCATATAAGTTTAATCAGGCAGAATCTCAGGTCTTGTTGCATTTCACAAATGTTTGCAGTTAGAGCTACAGTAGATTCCATTTTGGAGTGGTAGGGGAGTTAAATAAAACAAAGCAGCATCTGAGCAAAGGTCTCTTATTCTTTTGCTATGATCTACAACGTAGTCTACTTACCATTTTTCCCGTGGCATCTGATGGAAATCTGGCCCTTACTGAAAACTGTTGGATGGGGTGCAGCCGCAGGCAGGAAGACTAGAGGGGTTGAAAGAGAAAGTCAGCTGTGTGTTAAACTCTATATAGTTGATCTGTCTTTTATGTAACCATGTAGCTTGACAATGCTTTGAATGCACTGTATTCACATCCTCAGCCTTGGGTCCTGTCCTCTGACTGCATGAGGATGAGTAGTTTTGTTTTACCCAAGCCTTGGGACTTCTGCTTTGAGAGTTTGAAGTTCACTGAGGTCATCAGACACTGATCTAGACAGCTAAATTGGTCAGCCTTCAAGATCAAACTCACATTCACTCTGTCTACAAAGCCCTTCTCTGAGCACCCCAGGCTTTCTTTTCTCATAACTTTAAGAGCACTTCACATTTGGGTGCCTTACTCTCTTTACCTTGCATATAGCAAGCATCCTCCTAAGTTCTGTGCTGTTCATTGACTTTGGGTGGAGGTGAGATTTATTTGTGTAGAATTTAAGCTCCATGAAGGTGGAAGCTGTATTATATTCCCATGGTCTCTTCCCTAGTAGATTACAAGTGATCAGTTTTCATGCTCTGAGTTCATTGTGGGTAAACTACCACGTGCCAGGCAGGCACTGTGAGAAGCAGGATCTAAAGCCGAAGCAATCGAAGGTCAGTGATGAGGCAGCAACCTTCCTTTTCAGAGCCTAGAAAGACTCCTACTATTTCACCAGCTGGCGGTTTCTTGACATATGAGCAAATCAGAAAGGAAAAAAGGTTTCAGTGGATGCTCGCTAGTGATTCCTGGAATGAATGGTTTAGGCAAAACGTTGATTCTTTGAACTCACCAGCAGAGCAGGGTACAACTGCCACACTAACCTCCCTCCCCCTATCAAATTAAATAAAACCTCACACTTTGTAGGACGGCTGGCCATTTGGAACCAATGAAAGGCTCTGAAGGAAACAGAACAAGCCAAAAACACTCCTAGCCAACTAAGATATGTTCTCTGTCAATGTACTCTTAAGATTGGATTTCCTACCTTTAAGGCATAGATAGACACTACCAGATTAGAAAGTAAGTGTCAGATCTGTGTCTCCCAAGTGGCAGTGGAAGCATGACAGTCAAGATGGACACAGACAGGGAGGCTGGGGGCTGAAGCCATCTTCTTGCTGTCCCCTCCTTGGTGCTTACTTGCTGAGGGAAGTCAGGCCTGACACTGATGCATTGACTGTTCTGTCGAGTGAGGATCCGTTTCCTTCTCCTTTGTTTCAGCACCATGTAGATCCTGGCATAGACGAGGACAGTCACTCCAAAGGGCACATAGAAAGACACTATTGAAGAGTAGATTACAAAATCAGGGTTGGAGATAGAGCAGATGCTGGGGTCCCCTGTGGGTGAGAGAAGGGGAGGAGATAATGCAGTTTCCATATATTAGATCTCAGCAGGGAGCATGGAGCACAGCCCATATGGCACATGTTGCTTCCACCTCCAAATGCCATGGAGTGTGGTGGGGCATGCAGTCTCAGATACTTATGCTGTCAGCTTCTGGAGGATGGGAGGCTAATACATCTTTGTCTTTCTTACAGTTCACCTAAAAAGAAACTTTGCCAATGATTACATGCCAGACAATGTTCTTACTGGGGCTGCAAAGATGAATAAGATGTGGTGTCTGCTCTTGAAAGGGCAAACAGTCTGGATAGACAGATGAGCCGCCCTTCCATGAGTTGTAAAAGTGAGTCTGAGGGGCTGAGGGAAGGGCAGAGGCTTTCTGCAGTGTTGTAGCCCCTAGAGAAGGGGCTGCTGGGGTGGAGGCATGAAAGGATGGCTGGAAAGTAATGAAAAGAAGTTTCTCTTGAATCTTGTGTGTGGGGCAGGTGGTGGCTAAGTAGAAGGCAAGTACTTGCCAGGAATCCCTGCACTAGGCAATGGTGGGATGGAAGAGAGCTGGTAAGAATTGTCACAGTAGTGAATGTGAATTCAGAAAAGTCCTTGTACCTGACTCATGTCCTGAAGGGCTCTTGTCGCTCATCTTTAGGAGATGCCTATAGCTTTGTCTTCCTTACTAGCAGATATTGAAATTCTCCCAGTTGCCTGGATATGGCTTGAAACTTGCTCCATCTTGAAAGAGAAATGGATGCAAACTAATGTCTTCCAGGCTATGAGCCAATGGCTTTGTACAATTACCTGCAGGTGTTGTAACTGTGTTTTTTCTCAGATAAGCAGAAGGGAACTCAGACAGGTTGTCCAAGGCCACACAACCCAAAAGAAATATTCCTTTAGCTAGTCTGACTCTAAACCAATGTTTTATGTTTTTGACTCTTCATCTCCCTCTATCACTGTGACACAGCATATCTTTGCCCTGTTGGAAACTGTTGGGATGCTTGGCTCAGTCTTCGTTGGGAATTCTCCAACCCAAAAGATCTGGCCTTGAACAGATGTGAGCTGATGAGAAAAGCCAGAGGTTATGTGGATACCTCATTTTGCCTCTTAGTCTTCTGAGCTAGGAAGAGGCCAGATGATCCTAAATAAGAGATTCAGATCTCCCATTTATTATCTGTGTGACCTTGGACAAATTATCTAACTACAAAGCCTGTTTCATTATCCATAAGAGAAAAATAAAAATATTTCTTGTGCAATGATTGTGAGAATTAGTTACAATGAACAATAACTATTGTCATTATTTATTGACTATATTATTTATTATTTACCTCCCAGAACTTTTGAAATTTAAAAGGAAAGATATCATTTGGGATGAAATTAGAAAACAGATATATAGTAGGGAACAACATTTGCAGGGAAGGGAAAGGAGCAATGTCTAAAAACTAAAATGAAAAGAACATGCTCAGTGACCAGTGAGGTGTTTTAATGACAATGCTATTGTTATGGTTGAAGTCTAAAATGTTCCTCAAAAGTGTTGTGTATTCAGAGCTGAAGCTTTTGAAAGGTGATTGGTTCATGGTTTCTGAAAAGATTAATATTAAAAAACAACCAAATAGTTTGCATCAGGACAATAGGAAAAAGATGGCTTGCAAACATCTCAAGAGTCAGCAAGACCCTACCTATGATAGGCTCAAAGGTGCAGAAGTATAAAGCTTTCTTTTAAGAGGAAGCACTCATTTACTTTTAAATAGCCAGCATTGGAAGGGGTACAGTGTGATGATATTTATGTTACGATTGCACACACACAGACAGACAGACAGACACACACACCCATGCTTGATGCATCGGTGTGCTTGTTTCAGGCATTATCTTTCAAGAATATTAATATCTGCTTCTAGGGAAGGGGATGAGGGAACTAGCAATCTGGGATAGGAGGAACAATATGTACATATTTCTTTATATCTTATGGGTGTTTTATCATGTGCAGCAGTTATTTTTCTATTACATTTTGAAAGAAAAGAGAGAGGGAGAGAGACAGAGATGGAGAGAGAGAGAGAGAGAGAGAGAGGCTATTTTAGGATTGCTGATCAATAAGGGCCCTCATATCCAGTAAGCTTATACTGCTACTCCTTCCTTCCTCTCCATTTAAGTGAACCACTGCCTGCCTTTGATCAAATTTTGCAGTCTCTCCCAGAATTTCCCCATAACCCATGGGCTTGGGGCTGCACAGAAAGCAGAATGATGTTGGCAAGGGGTCCTGATGATGCAAGGGGGTTCTGCCCCAGTCCCTAGCAGACCTGGCCTAAGTATAAGCAGTGAAGAGTCACCAACAGCAGCAATTTTGAGAGCTTCTCCATTCAATACTGAAGAGGCAATTTGGGCAGTGAGGCCTCCAGGAAGTTGAGGCCTCTCCAGGACATGTGGCGCCTTGATGATCTCACCAAAACAATATTGTGCATATATGGCAGTTACTGAAAGAATACATGAATGATGGACAAATGAGCCAAATGTACAAATCCACATTTTATGTAAGCAATAAGAACCTTGGGGCAAGAAGATAATGAGAAAGTCCAGGTGGGATGAGAGTTTCTCTAATCTCATTCTTTAATATTAGAGATGGTTATTGCAACTAATTTCAACATTGAAGGAAGAAGGGATGAAGGTTGATTTACTTACTTATTCGACCAACCTTTATGGAGTGCCTACTTTATGCTGGTGATAAAAACACTAATAGCACTACTACTAATGGTCTAGAAGGCGTTTTGTGACCTAACTTGGGAACTTAGCCTCATGGTGATGTAAATAGCCTCATGGTGATGTACGTAACAAGGCCAAGAGAAGGTTGACCTGGAGGATTCATGAACTTTAAACTTATTAAAGGATTTGATCTCGACTTGATTCTAAAGACAGGAGATGTTGATGAATTTTAGGATGAGCTGCGATCATTATTATTATTTTTAACTGTGTGCTTCTATTCTTTTCACTTTTTGAGCAGCCAAGCTTCCCCTGACTTCAATGCTCTGAAAGTCAAGGGAGACATTCTGTTGCTAAAATCAAATAAATAGCGTTCCTCCATTTCTTACTTTCAATGGAAAATCAAACCAGCCGATGAGATTTCCTTAACCTGAAGTTTTTCATCCCTTGAAGATTTCTTAAACTCTTGCCACCAGCTATTGCTTATTCATTCTAGAATTCTTTTCTTATAACACATTAGCTAACTGGTTTTAGCAGGGATTTGGATGCTAGTTATTTTTCTTGTCTGTGAAATGAAAGAATGGAGCTTCTTACTCAGAGATCTTCAGGATGGCCTCTTGCGTCAGTGTGCCATGCTTTGCTGTTGTTAGGGGCTATTGCTGTGATCTTTGACTAGGCTGCGAGGCCTTTTTTGGGATCTGGGACAATGCTACACAGACCCAAGGCTTGGACCACTTTGCAACCCAACATCTGCCTCCTGTTGCCCTTTCCTCAGGAATTAGGAGCAACTCTGAGTTGGAAGGGACTGAAGTTCTCTCTATTTTATGCTAATAATTCAGAATTTTATGTGGCAGCCCACATCCTTAAAAGAAGAGCTCTGGTACAAAGTTCTTTTTTGTGGGTTTTACATCTTAGTGAAAGTCCAGCTATTTCCAAAATATTGGTATTGGCAGAATATTGGCCTTTTCCCTTGTACTTTTCACAGAAGAAGTAGAAAAAGTGGCTGAGAGAGAAGTCATTTATATTGGGTTTTCAAATGAACATGGAATTTCCTTGTAGGTGGGTGAGTTGGTGAAGAAACTCAAATCTAACAAGGTAACAAGGCTATGTAGGAAGGTCAGACTGAGGCAGAGAAGGATGGCTGGGCTTCCCTGCCTTGAATTCCACTCACGAATTTCTCGAACTGTGTTCAACAGATCTCCCTTTCAAAAACCACCAGTTTATGGGGCTGGGGATTTAGCTCAGTGGTTCTGCTGCCTGCCTTGCAAGTAAGTACAAGGTCCTGAGTTTGATCCCCGGTGCAAAAAAACAAAAACAAAAACAAAACCCCAGCAGTTTAGTGCTTCCTTGGAGCAGATGTGTAGTTAAATTTTGAAGCACAGAAAACTTTTAATAAACAATAATGATATTATCAGCTAATATCTATTGGGGTCTTACAATAAATCTGACATTTGATATAATGTATGCATAATTGGAGGGTTCCCTATAGTGTGTGTGGGGGAGAAGGAGAGAGAGAAAGAGAGAGAGAGAAAGAGAGAGGAGAAGAGGTGAGGGCAGTGAGCACATGTGCTAAGTTATAAGCCCTTTTTGCCTTCTCAGTTCTAAATTTGAAAATTCTTTTGGAAAGATTTTCCTGAGTTTTGTTTCTGGAACATTAATGACCTCACTGGTGGCAACAACACTGCAATTAGCTCATCATTCTTCTTCACTTTAGATGTTGACATTAACTGGGAACTCTGTCTAATGTCAAATTTTGAGACAGTTTCGACTGTTCCCAGGGAGCATGTGGGCTCCTGTGAGAGTGAGTAAGCCGCCCCGCCAGCCTCCCAGCGTGAGGAAGGAGGACCAGACTTGGCCACGCAGACGCTGGTGAGGACCCGCTGCTGGCAAGCAGTAGATTGGTCTCATAGTGGTCGTGAGCTCCCTATGTGACAAATTCCCACTTAGAATGTATTTGTGCATAGGAACGAGGTTGCCAAAGGCAATGTAGTTACCTGACTAACCCATAAGCACATGGGACACTCACCAAGAAGGGCATTTTAATGTCACAGTCAGTAGTTTTGGAGGGTACTGTCTTGTGGTGTGAACGTGTGCTTGTGTGTAGGACATGTCATTCACTTAAAATCAGTGGTGTAGAGTAGTGCAGAGACGATAACAGCATCACACTTCAGGAGCACTCCAGGTTAACTAGGCAAATATTTGTTGATAACTTGGCTACTTAACCTTCAGTGTGGCAGAGAAAGAAGGCTGACCCTGAGTAGGTAGTTTGTGCTCTGCATGTCTTTGAATACTATCCTAATATAATCCTGATTTAATTGGAAAAAAATCTGTAGAAAGGAGGTAGAATGTAGTTTCAGGGAGGGTTACATCCTAGTCAATGAATAAAGTAACAATTATTCGGACTTAAAATTTGCTTTGAAAAATCCCCTACATCACATATTGACTTACATGGTTTTGTTATAGCCTTGAACAATAATAAGATATATGATACATATATTAATGTCATGTGTTATAGAGTTCATAGGGAACATGTTATTTCATTTTAATTTTTGTGGTACTAGGGATTGAACTCAGGGCCTTCACACTGAGCTATGTCCTCAGCCTTTTTTAAAATTTTTGTTTTTTTACTTGAGACAGGGTCTTGCTAAATTGCTAAGTGCATTCCAATTCATGAGCTCCCTGACTCAGTCTCTGAGGGTGCTGGGATTACAGGCCTGCACCCCACACCTCCTGAGAACATGTAAATTTGGACATGAAGTCACCGAGCTTATGTGTAGGGGGCTATAAATAATAAATAAATATTGAAAATTTCCTAACTAAAGACATAGATTGAATTTATATATTTGAATTTGCTTGAATTTATACCCCACTGTATTTTCCCAAATTTAACAATAAGGAGACTGAATTTTAAAAAGTTAAGTACAGTGGATCCTTGACTTATAAACTCAATCAGTTTTCAAGGGCTGGTTGTAACTCAAGTTGGTTGTAAGTCAATACAGCTGAGATCTGGTTGTTTACCTAGATACTTGCTATAGATAACAAGAAACAGATGAATCTTCCATTAATCTAATTAACCCAAGTTGTTCATATGTCAGGCCAGCTGTAACTTGAGGGTCCGCTGTAGTTTATTTAAGGAAGCAGGGCCTCTATCTTCCTAAATGTGCTCTGACTTCTAAAACATTGTACAGGACATGACACTTAGAAGAATATTTATAAGTTAGGATTTGCCTACCTCAAAATATGTGCAATATGTTTCATATAATATCTACATATACATAAGCACATGGCTATGTGATTAGTATGTATGAAACAGAAACTCACAAGTCTGGAACATAGTAGGAATTGAATTAATCAGTCCGAATGGACAAAATAAGAAATCCAAATGAACACCAGAACTCTACTCATTCAGTTATCTCTTAGCAAATACTTAGTGTATATTACCAATAGCTTTCCTTCAACATATGAATTTCCTGAAGCTAAAAGATGGACATGGGACAGACATAGGGACACTGATCCATATAACGTGTAAATTTGGGTTGGTGTCATATACTTAAAATCACAAGCAACACAGATATAAACATTGTTCACACATCCATCCATCTATCCAGTGGGAGATGTACTATGTACCTACTATAGCAGTCAAAATTTTTGCATATTAAAAATGTAAAAACATATGACAGTAATTTTGGAATTTTATACTAATTTCAAAGTCACCTCAGAAATATTTCTTATTGAGGAAAAAGAAGCATTCTACTCCAGGACTTTTATGATGTCCTTTTGCATTGTGGGTCTGTTATATACTGGCACCTTTTCATTAGCAAATCTCACCTAAATTATCTTTTTTTCCCCTTACCTCTGCCCTCCCTTCACCCCCTCCTCCCCTCCCCATCTACAAACACTTTATTTTCATCTTTTCATTCTCTCACATTTTTTTCTTTTCCCTTTTTGTTCTTCCCCTACGTATCACACCTTCCCTACATCTTTAGCTCCTTTCCTCCCATTTCTAAATGTCAGTAATCTTATTAGAATCTTATGCATTGTTGCAGAATATTCTTATTGAGGAAAAAGAAGCATTCTACTCCAGGACTTTTATGATGTCCTTTTGCATTGTGGGTCTGTTATATACTGGCACCTTTTCATTAGCAAATCTCACCTAAATTATCAATAAGTCTTAGTTTTTTTAAACTACTACATTCCTTCAAATAAGTACAATGACATTTCTTTCAAAAGACGGTCAAAAACCTAATAATGAATATCAGCATATTGTATACCTAAAATGTACCAATAAAATTAACTTAAAAATAAAGAGAAAAAAAAAGAGGGCGACTCAAACTTTTCATTAATTGAGGAAGAACTTCACCTTTGTGCCAATAATTGGTGAGGTTGTGCTCTATGTTTTAGGCCAAAACATTGCAGTCCATAGCATCCTAATTTGATTTCAAATTATACTGATTGGAGTCAGAAACAACAGGGTTGGGCATCACCGAAAGGCACTCAGGTGTGCCGTGAATGTCAGAGACAACGGATGGGAAATCGTCGATGTTACCTGTTGTGTTGAAGCCAAAGAGGAGAGGGCAGGACACAGCAAATGCTAGTACCCAGACAGCAGTAATCATGAGGGCTACACGCCGGCAAGAGCCCTGCCCTGTGCCGTGTTGATAGTGAACTGGCATGACCACAGCGGTGTACCTGTAAGAGGAAGCAAGAGAGGATGGGCATGATGAGACAGGCTGGGGATTGCTTAAAAGATAAGTTGAAGAAGTTATTCAAGAAAGGATAAGTTGGTACTTTGGCAGGCAATAGATGTTTAACTGAAGAAAGAGAGAAAAGTGTTCATGTAAAAATGGTAGAAAGATTGAGAGAGATGAGGAAGTCATTGAAAAGGATGAGCAAAGGCAGGAAGAGTTAAAAATGCCTCAATAAATTTTTCCTACTCTTAAAAAAACTGAAGCACCATTGGGTTTCTGGGGAGCTTCTGCCTGATTGCCTCACACAAGCAGCCTTGCGGTAACCTCCCTTCACTCTGAAGACTCTGGTGCTGGTGTGAGTGCCTTTGCTTTTTCCCAGTTTTCTAGACAACAGGAGAACTGTGCCCAAAGAGGTTTACTCCTTGGCTGTATCCTAATAAAAACCCTACCCCGGGCGTGCGCGCGAGCTCCCGGCGTGCGCGCGAGCTCCCGGCCTGCGCGACAACAGACCCAGGAAGGACCCAAGGACCCCA